TTCATATGCTATGCTAATTACCAAACACTCTATTTTAAATCATTTAAATTAATTCGAACTTAAATCGAATCAATCACAAATAATTTTATTAGTTTAGTAAATTAAATTAGTTACCTGTTTTATTAATGAAAATAAAAATTATTTTCATATTTTAGATCTATGAGTATTTATTGTTTTGCAACAGCTTTGATTCACATATTATATAAACAGAAAAATAATGTTATTTTTCGAAACCTCGGACGAAAGTAAATGAAAATTCTCGCTTTGTATAAGTTTAAATTAAAAACGAAAATAAATAAATTTTCTTAAATCTCGACTAAACATTTTTAGATATCCAAATATTTTTCAAAACTTAATAAATTATAGAATATCTCTTAAATATTTTTACAAACATTACCCCGCACGAATGTGCGGGTAGTAACCTAGTCAACTATAATTACATATCGAGAATAGGATTTGAAAATGATTTGGTTTTTAATTGGCATATATTGCTTTATCTTTTTTTTTTAATATAGCAATTGGCATAGAGTTAAATGTGAGAATGTTAGAGTATAGTTTTTTAGCAAGACAAGATTATATACGAAACCGGTATGGTATGGTAGTACTGGTTTTATTTTACAAATCATGACATACTTAAAATAATTATAACATAGGTTCTAATTAACAATGGTTTAAAATAATTTCTTATTTTATCAACTTTTTTTTTGACAAGAGGCTTTATTTTGTCAACTTATATTTCATATGTTTCGTCTTAAATCAATTTCGTAACAAATCTGTTAAACTGTGAATATTTGATTAAATGAAACAAATTAGTTCAATAATTACTACACGTCCCATTGTTAATAAGTTTCCTAATAGACATATGTGAGTTATACAATGAAAATTTGTTTGTCTAATATCAGGTGTATTCATGGATAGTCACACGAATGGCCACTGTTTTTGTTGAAAGTATGGAATCTGTTTGAAAATTACACCACTTAATTTTTAGTAACCTATATATTTAGGTGAATTTAAGTAATTATTTGGTTAATAGTTTAAATCGGAATAATCGTATGTTTAAAAGTGTATTAGGCTTAAGATGAGCTTCATTTATGGCTTAAAGTATTAAGACATTGTTACCCTTAATAAAATTATAAAATTGTTTAAAGAATGCAATGGTACATAATGTAAATAACACAGTAAGTAAAGGTTAATTTTAATTAATAATTCCCTTTTAATAGTATAGCCATCACATGTCTAATTTAATTAAAAAGTATAATTACGATTGAGTACATATAGGCGGCAGGAAACAAATGTCAAAATATAAAAATCACGATATGTAATGGTAGTAGCAAACGGGACGAATTCAATCCCTAGAGGCAGTTGTAGAAGAGAGATAGGCAACAGAGCAATGGATGACGACAACCGAAGGTGTCAAAACCATCATGAGTTTCAACAATATAAGACTTAAAGAAAACGTTTTTCGAAGTATTTACGTGTACGTTTACGAAAAAAATTTAACGATTTAGTTGAGAGCAATTAAACTAATTATGACATCCCAATCTCGATGCACTGATCAAACTGGTCAATGTTAGATAATCATCTGCGTTCACTTGGCCAGAACGCTCTATTCGCTTACAAGCCTTGAAATCCAAATGCATTTTTACAAAACAACACCAGCAAGCCAAACAGCACATCCCACCTAACCGGCGAAGTGAAATGGAAAAAAGAGGGATGAGTAATTTATTTTATTCAGGAGAATGCATACATGTGATCTACTACACATATCACCACCTTAATATATCGTTAGCCAGCGGCTAAATGAACAAGCAATCACAACTCTATAACAATCAACAATCAAACATACATTCCTAATAGGTCTAGGAATGAACTGTAGCTACTGTAACTCCAAACAATCCGACAAGTAGAACTGCATCACTTTCGATTATCAGGTTTAGATAGGAACTGCATCTACCGTAATTTTAAACAATCCAACAAGTGAACCTTCATCATTTTCGGCTATCAGATTTAGGTAGGAACTGCATCTACCATAACCTCAAACAATCCAACAAGTGGAACTGCATGACTTTCGGCTATAGATCTAGTTAGGAACTGCATCTAACGTAACCCCAAACAATTGGACAAGTGGAACTGCATCACTTTTGGCTCCTAATGCAACTGTGCACTCAACACTCTATATGCAATACAACTCACAATTCCACAAGCACTCAAACATCAAACAACAATTAACAATATCAACCATGGTTGTGGATCTATGTTTGAAAATAAGTAAAAGTAAATTCCAGCACACAAAAAGCAATTACAAATTGCGTCTTAAGTACAACCTGCATGGCCAATGAAATCTGCTTATCCCTAATCAGAAATAAGAAAGGAGGATAACACAGAAGGAAAAGAGGCATAGATACATCCTCAACTTTGCCACACAACAACGAAGACCAAACACAATTATTGGACAGATCCACTGCTCCGACTTTGGCAGCACGTTTCGACATGTTTATGAGACTTAAGTTGGTTCTCCTTCATTCTAAAGGTCAACTTATGAGTCCTTAAAGTCTCTGCAAGGTTCCAGGTTGATCCAGATTTATCTGCATATCCAAACATACCAGCTCGCTAGACTGGTCCGACCTGTGCGTTATACAGAATAGTCCCAATAAAACTATCATAACTTGCAAACCGCATGATAGAATATGTAAATATTTTAGAATCAACTAGATATAAGAGTTATGGATATCCTTAATAAACACCTGATCGATCCAGTCTTTGAAGATCCCAAACTACGACTTCTACCCTAACTGGTCACAGATTCGCTCTACACAGATCAAGCCTAGAAAAACATTAATAACTTTAATATAATAACCCCATATAGATTAGAGAGTCATGAACGTTCTCATCAAGTTTCATCATTAGGATCCTATTTTACCATCTGTAGGTCTGATTTGTCTTCTCGTTGCTTCTAGATAGCTTCAGAGGCTTCCTATTTAGGGAGGAGGTTGGTGGCTGGCTTTGTCCTGTTTCCGACAGGGCTTTGATATCAAATCCTCTCTGCCACTTATCCATTTCATGATTTCCTTAATATAAACGAGGGAAAACTTTAGAATTAGAGTTTCAATAACCTAATGAATTTTTAAAAAGGTGTAACGGGTTTTTGGGCTTTAATACATGAGAAAAATAAACAACATACAGATTTAGAGAAATGAGGGTGTTTCACACTTACACCAACATTCCAAGGATGCGACGTCATTGCTCAGCTGAATTCGGTATTGGAAAGACCTCTATGATTGCTATCTCCATATGCAAAATCGTTAACTCTTCCTCTAACAAAGTTCAGGCCATGATATTATCACCAACAAGAGCTTGCTTCACAGACGGAGAAGATGACACGAACTATTGATTTACATGATAATGTTCATGCACACACGTGTATAGGTGGGGAGAGGATTGGAGAAGACATCAAGAAGCTTGAGAAAGTTTTCGTCTACGTTGGGCTCTGAACACCTGGTCATGTCTTTGACATGATAAAGAGGAAAATACTAGGAACCAGAGGTCTGGAGGTATTGAACTTCTTGTTCTTGATGAATCAGATGAAATGTTGAGAAGAAGGTTCAAGAACCAGATCTATGATGTTTACAGATACCTTCCACCTGATCTTCAAGTTTGTTTGGTTTCTGCAACTCTTTCTCTAGAGGTTTTTGAGATGACAGAGAAGTTTACGACATGCTCACTATTTTCAGCGACGATTCACGAAAGGTGGATTGGTGCGAGAAGATGAGGAGTAGCAACTTCATAATCTTGTCGATGGACATGCCTCAGAAGGAGACAGACAAGATTATGAATCAGTTTCGGTCAGGTGATAGCCGGATTTTGATCACAACTGATGTAATGGCACGTGAGATTGATACACAGAGTTTTAATCCAAATAAAAGACAGTAACTGCACAGATAATCATAATAATATATATGGGATCGAATCCACAGAGACCAAGGATACACTATGATTCGTTTGGAATGAAACTAAACTAACACAATGATATGTTTGTTGTTTGAAAGGTATAACGAAAATAGCAAGTAAACTGTATAGAAATCAGTTAAGACAAGCGTTAGGTAAGAAACATTCGCAGGAATAGGAGATCATGAAGCAGACAATTATTCAGAGAATGGATTATGAACCATTCTAGAACTCAAAACACAGATGTATAATTAATCTACTGTCGTGGTACCAACTACTTTGTTTGACAACCTAAGATTCTAACCTGTCGTTTGAACTTAGAATTCTAGACAAGCTTTAATTTCGAGTTTGATATGCTCACAAAATGCCTTAACATTAGTTTTTGTTGGCTAAGGGCATTTTGCTTATCTATGTTCTTTCAGGCTTTTAAACAAACATTTTTGGTGCACTAAACAACCTAAGATCAGAAACTAGATAGCTAATCAAATTTTAGCATTTAGATCAACAATAGATAAAGAAACTTTAAGATAATTATCTATCTATGTCCAATTCAATTATTCATAAATTCCTTTGAAAATCTAAACCTAACTATGAGACTACTCAGACATGGAAACAAAGAACAAGCAATATAGAGTTAGAAATCTTTATTCAATAAATAAGAAATCTAAAAGGGTTAAGAAATCTTCTCAAGAGATGAAGAGTCAAAGATTCTTCTCCCGAACTTACAAAGATCCAAAACAAAAACAAAGAATAGAAAATAATGTGTTCTCTCAAAAAGTGGCTAAAAATAATGTATATATAGGCCAAGGGTCGAGATAGGATGAGTTAGGATGATTCTTGATCAAAATAGGATGTTGCAGATTTTCTTTTTTCCGTCCGGAGAACTGGTCGATCGATCTGGTATTGGATCAATTGATCTAAATAGTCTCTGTAAATCTTCAGCAAGTAGATCAATCGATCTAAATAGTCTCTGTAAATCTTTAGCAAGTGGATCGAGCGATCTAAAATCTCTCTAGAAATCTTCTGCAAATGCTCATCTTCTCGTCAGGATGGACAGTCTTCACGGAAACTGCAAAATGTTTGATCGCACCGTTATATTGATTTTAAACCACTCTCAAATAAAAGCTAACTCAAAAATCTAGTTTGTGACCAAAATTCAGTTTGATCCATCAGTGGAAAATGCTTCTAACTAATGCCAAACTTCAGATGTCCTTACATAGTTTTGCATCAACATTTGTTCGTTTACACTCAAAATAACTAATTTTCTCTCAAAGCAATCTAAAACTTGAAAAAACTCTATAAAGACTATAAGATTCTAAAATAAATATTTTGACTCGAAAAATCATTAAAAATTTTAGGTTAAAAAACTTCAAAAATCCAATATATCAGTAATCCATGTGCAGCACATTTCTCTTGTAATCAATTATGATCTCCCTAATAGCCGTGAGCTCTACGTTCATCGTATTGGACAGTCTGGTCGTTTTGGGGGTAAGGGTGTTGCAATAAACTTTGTTATCAAGATTCTAAGGAGGGACATTGAGCAGTACTATAGTACGCAGATTGATGAGATGCCAATGAATATGATGTGATCTAAAAATACTGTCTCTTATTTGAAATTGAAAAAGTTTAGAAACAAAAAAATGATTACATAGTTATATAGTTCTGCATCAATATATTTGTTAGATTTTAAAATAAACACTTAAATTCAAAAAATCATTAAAAACTTGAGATTAAAAAACCTTAAAAGATCCATGTGCAGCACATCTCGCTCGTTATCAATTATGATCTCCTTAATAGCCGCGACTTCATCCTATTGGACAGTCTGGTCGTTTTGGGGGTAAGGGTGTTGCAATAAACTTTGTTATCAAGATTGTAAGGAGGGACATTGAGCAGTACTATAGTACGCAGATTATTGAGATGCCAATGCATGTAGCTGATCTTATCTAAAAATACTGTGCCTCCTATTTGAAATTGAAAAAGTTCAGCGAAAAAAATGGTTACTTAAAGTTAAAGTTATGTATCATTTCTTTGATTTTATCTTTATCACATGCTACACATATTCTCACGCACGTTTCTCTTTGTGTACTTGATGAGTTCTTACATGCTATATCGACACTCTTGATGAGTTCCTGTAATCACATTTCTTCACTCGAGCTGTTGTTGATTGCTTTGTTCAATGGTGGAACAGGAACATCTTTTATCATTAGAGACAGCAAGAAACCAATCATCTGCGCATGGGAAACAGGTCCATCATTATATTTCATATACAATTTCAAATCAAAGTACCCGTGATGGATGAAATGGCCATACCGAGGGCAATGAGATGCATAGAATGCTGAATCCAGGGAAAAAGAATGGTGCATCGTTGGATAAGAACAACGCTATACAAATGGAAACCAAATTAAATATTTTAAAATATGTCAAAAGACTCAAAGACTCTTAGCAGTAAATTGTGTTCTTATACGGTTTGACAAACCTGTCAATGGACTGAATACAAAAGGTGCCACGACTTTGCCAACGGACCTAACTCCAGATATGCATCCTTGTACTTTCCCCTTCACCAATTCAAAAGAGTTGTTAGCGTTTTGAAATTCATATCATTAGAAGTTTAGAACATATTTTTTTTTTCCAACGAACATAATATATTATTCCCTCTATTTCACAATAAGTCGATAAGTGATGGCTTAGAAATTTTTTTCTGTCTCAAATGATGTGATCTTTTCAATTTTCAATTAATTAGTTTTTTTAATTGTTTCTCACCAGTTGAATTATGCTGATTTTTTATCATTGGTTTGATTATATTTAAATAAATAACAAATGATGTTTTTATCATTAGTTTATTAAAAAACTTCCTCCCTTTTTAAAAGAAATATTTTGTAGCTTTTATTTTTGTTTCCAAAGATAAAATAGATATTTAAATTTTTTATACATTTATTATTAAATAATGATAATAACTTGTAAACTTCAAAACAAAAAGAATTTGTTGAATTATTGTTGGTTTAAAATTATAAAAAATTATTAATTATAAAAAATGATATATTTATAATTATATTTTAATTTATTTTCTTAATATATGTAAAGATTCTAAATTATCTATCAACGAAAAACATAGAAAATATTATATAAGTTTTTAATATTTACGCATAGAATTTAAACATCCACTACATATTATTTGAGAAGTAATATTATTGAAAATTGCTTACTTGTCAACACGACAATCAAAGTTAGTGCTTTTAATTGATGACATGTAAATGTGACATGTCAAACTTCCTAAAATAAACGAAATGTTTTGATTGGTTGAATTGAAATTATATAAATTATGGAATTAAAACATAAATAAACAAAATTATATTTATAACACTAAAATTAACAAATTTAAATTAACAGAAAATAAAAGTTATTATAATTTTAATTTTTTACATATATTCATAATTTAATAAAAAATAATTATGAACTTTTTTCAACAATATATATATATATATTATAATTTCATATAAATAAAAAAATAATATTAAATTATCTAATAGAATAGTAAAAATTCTATTTATTATTAATACTTTAAGTATGGTATATTTTTATTTCAGAAAGTTATTAATTAAATCTAAAAAAATTTTAAATAAACAAATTATTAAATAATACAATTTTAAATAAAATACAATCATGATAAAAATAATTTAAAGAATAAAATATTAAAAATAATAAAAATAAATAACTTTTATTGATTTTTTTTTTTAAAAACGTAATTTTAAAAAAAATATTTTCAAACCAATATTTACTAAAAGAATAAAATATATACTAATTATTATTTTATAATCTTAATCGAACCATATATTTTTCTATAACTTTTATCATCTTTTTATTGTTGTTTTCTAAAATATGCATAACTTATATTATCATCTTATCTTATCTCTTATCATATTTTAAATAAAAATAAAATTTATATTATATTAATATATATACATAATTTTATTTTCATTGTATATCAAAATTTTGAGATCATAATTGAATTGAAAAATAATCGAACGAAAGAATAAATTATAATAAGAAAAAACAATATGAATAAGAAATAAAAATAGAAGTATATAAAAAAAAAATCTCTCGCTCTTTGGTTTACAAAGTCACTTACAAAAATTCTAACACGTAAGAGCAGCCCTAATGGAGAAATTTGGGTGTCTAAAACAAAAGATCTTAATAATAAAAATAAATAAAAAAATAGTGAAAGGGTCTTAAGAAATAGACACAGTGTCTAAAATATGATACTTTTGTTGAGTTAAGACACCCAATGTCTAAAATAAATAATAAAATATTTTTAAGACTTTCTTAATAAGTTTTCCATTGGGGTTGGTCGCCATATTTCAATTTTTTTACAAATACACGTACATATATAAATATTAGTTGTACATTAGTTAAAGTCACATGCGAACTTTTTCGTGCATGTATTTTGTTAAGATTGGTTACAGTCTAATTTTATTTTAATAATTATCCAATTTATATTTTTAAAAAAAATCTTTATTATTCTAAGTGTAGTAAAGTGATTGGTATGCCCGCACATGCGTACCAACCATCTATCCGCTCTTAGAAATAAGTAAAAATGGTAAAAACTATTTCAGTTTAATTTGCAATAAATCAAGAAAAATATATACTTAAAATATATTATATATGTATTTACAAACTCATATTATGTAAGACGCAAAAAAGCATATTGTAGATTGTGTAAAGAGAAATAAAGCATATTAATATTATAAAAATTTAATTATTATTATATACTATTACAAGCATTGTAAAAATAAAAGTAATACAATACATTGATTTCAGAAAAAAATTTGTGAAATATTAAAATAATATATATATATACAAACATACAAATATTTAAAATTTAAATATTACAATTAACTATGTAAATCAAAAAAATTATACCTGCACATATATACGGACCAACCACCTTATTTTTTTTAATACATAACATAGAATAGTTTGTACCTGTTCACCGGGTCCCACTTGTCTTGAGGCAATACCACAAGCCTATATATACAACCAAAATGTTCAAACGCTATTAAGTAGCTAAAAACACCATTGTTAAGGACCCATTTAATTAATGACGATGCCACGAGTCTTACCGATGGCATCACAATTATTGCTCCAGGTATAAACACGGTGATGAGATAAGGAACCTGCGAAGTTAGAAACATATATACAAAACACATAAACAAATCATATTGAGATTAATGAATACGCATGTCCCTAGTTTTGACCGACTCACCCATGGTGCCCAAGATATGCTGAAAATAGCCATCTGCGTCACAAACACATTACACATGTACCCATATTCATTATTTCAATATCCCAAGATCACTTATTTAGAATAACATCATTAGAAACAGAGTCGAGAAACATTACGTATATGAATTCCATAAAAAGCCCTGTTGATAAAAGCTTGCGATCTCCAAAGGTAGAAGCAAATCTTGGCAGTACAAACAGCTGAGAAAAAAAAAAAGTAGCAATACAGAATGTATACTAATTAGTCAAATAGTATTATCATGCATGTGTTTGGTGGTGATAATACAATCTTGAAAAGCATAATAAGTCGTAATTTGATTGTACTTGAGAGATAGACCCAGCGATGGTAATCAACATTATGAGATCAGCAAATTGGTTCTTGTCAAATCCAAATCGCGCTTTCAGAAAATACTGCATGTCAAAAGAAAAACGTTTTTATTCACAGTAATTGATAATAATAATAAAAAATCTCATTATGTAAAATAAAGAGTATATTTGAGCTAAACCAAGAAAGCGGACTGCATTCCACTATCTGAGAAACTGCTGAAGAATGTAACAACCAATACTTGAACAAATATGGTGCTGCATTATAAAAACCATATCCCATCATTCAGAATGATATATGTAAGCTTATATATATATATATATATATCTTTAGACATACATATATAAGTACCTGGTCTTCATCAAGAAGATCATATCTTTCCATGATGATTGCTTCTTCTTTAAGACACATGTTTTAATGGTTGTGTCGTTCAGAATCGGCTCTGCTAACATCGTGACACCATTACTATCATGGTCATCTTGATGATGATGATCATCACCATTTTCATCATTGTTTAGATTTTCTTTTAGGAAAATTCTCATGTACAGCAGACCAACGAGAAATGATATAGCTGAAACCTAATTTATTTCCCAAGAAAATATGCCTCTTATATTTTTTTAGTAATGATCGATAGAGGATTTGACGGTAATGATGATAAGATACCTTAAAAATCAAAGATATCGGTAGAAATCGAGCAACTAATGTTCCACAAAGAGCAGAGATTGTTTTGATGCCAGCTAAAATACTAAAAGCTGATATTCTTGTTCCGTCGTGAATATTCTCTGCCTGAAAATGAATATGAAATGAAGTAACTGATTCTAATGAGAGGATATATTTTATTACAACATATTGCAAGTTTAAAATAAATGATAGTTAAAAATTAAAAATTACCACATAGGCAAAGGCGAGGCAGTCAACGGCGCCTTCGCATACCAAAGCGGTCAGAATCTTGATTACATAAAACAGGTAGAAAAACTGTGTATCCCTTCTGTAACCTAAAATTACTGCCAAAATTAAAAATGAATTTTTGTTCAGACGCATATTCTTGATTTTCAATTGTTTTTTTTTAACATAACTGAAAATGAAATAAACTACCAATATTAAAACATAATTTAATCTGAGCCGCATTAGATTAAGTTAGTTTTTTTTTTTTTTTGACAACAACTATTAAGTTGGATATAATTGTCGAAATTGTGATAGATTGATTTTTTTCTTTTCTTGTTTTTTTCATTGTAATCTTCTCGAGTTGTGTTGATATTAAAGTTCTATGGAAGGAACAATGATGATGGACAAGGCATGCACTTGTCCTTGTAGTGGGGCAAAGCTTAGTTTCTTCCACGCGTTACTTTCCTAATAAAATACACAAATCATATTTCTTTGAATCTTGGATTTTTATAGTGAAAAATAGATAGCATATCCTATTTAGGTGTCAGTTTGTCAATGAGTCTAAGTGTCTAACAAAGGAAACATAAGAAAAAACTACTTCTACTTTCAAAATATAAATTGTTTCACAGATTCTAGGTAAAAAATAATAATATTTTAATTAAAAAATTGGAAAGTAAAAAAAACAAATATGAATAATTGATTTTTAGAAAAAAATAGAAAAGTAAAACCTGTTTTATGTGTTTTATCTAAAGTAACTTCCACTTTAAAACAGAGGGAATATAATAAAAAGAGGGAGAGAGAAAACGAACCAGGAGGAAGAATGGAGAGACACATGGGAAGAGTGAGGATTGCTTTAGTTCCATATCTGTCTGATAAATTTCCAATTACTGGCAACATTACCATTGTCCCCAACCCTATTGCCTTCATTAAATATTATCACACAAATATTTACTAAACTATTGCTTAAACTTGTTGAACATTATAATATGAATTATGGCCGACACTAAAAATGAATTCTTATGACTTTTCTAAAAAAAAAAAAAAAATCAGAATTCAAACTAAGTCAAATAAATAATTATTTTTTCTGATTTTCCAAAACCTTTCAAAATAAAATACGTGTTAATGTGTTACAACTCCAACATTAATTTAAAGTCGTAACCAAATAAATCGAACTATTTGTCCTACCAATCATTATCACTCGTTCCTTTTTGTTCTTTTGTTAATTCTTATATATCATTTTTATCAACTATTTAAAAAGGTGATAGCCTCTAGTTTTTTTTAGTTCAGAAAACTGTATTCTGCAAGAGAAAATATTGTTTTCCAAACCCTTTTTATATAAAAAAAAAGAAAATATTGTTTTGCGTTTTGACCGACGTGTATAATATATACATAATATTCTTATATTCACACTCAACATAGATATTCGTTCTACTTCTACATTATACAAACAAATGAAAAACTGGATTTAACTTCGTATATTCTAAGAAAACAAACAAAACTCCTTATTTGGAAGACCAAGAGAAAACATTCTTTAAATATTATTTACTTAAAAAAAACCAAATCCGATTATCTGAATATATAATAGGTTCTCAGTTCCAGGTTTAGAGACATCAGAGGGAGAGAAAGATAGATACGGAAGCATCTGACATGTTAAGTTTAAGCAAAAAACATAACAACACAAAATCAGGAAAGAAAGAAAAATAAAAACCTTTAAAAGAATCAAGAAATTCAGATTAAAGAGAAAGTAAAGGAAGTATATATGTAAGCAAATGTGTGTACCACTTGTTGGAAACCGGTGAGGTATACGGCGAGAGAGCATGAGTCACCTGGTCCGGAGCAAACGGCGGCGACGGTGACGTCAGTAATCACAGGTGCTTCCATGATTCCGGCGAAGCCATTGAGGAACACAATCGTCAACATGTGTCTCAGCCCTACGAATCCATCCTCCATTACCACCTATGGCCTATATTTCCCTACTTGGATTAAAAACAAGAAGAAACGAAGCAAAAGGTTTAAGATTTTTTTCGATTTAGTCTAAAAAGAGAAAAGCTAATTATCCAAGAGAACATATGTTTTCACCAGTCGGCAGATATTTATCCAGTCTATTCTTTATTTTTTTAAATTCGAATGAAGCATGAATCACATCAGATCGTTGAGGACATTTTGATATTTTGTGGACTCCATCATATTAGTCACTATCTCTTATGTGCATTTAAATTACTCGCTACGTCTAATAGTTATGTGACATGTTGTACTAATAATTAACTATGATCGACATTAAAGTTCAGGCTATGCACAATATACATATACCCGTTTCAATCAGTTTTTTTATAAATTTAAAATTTTGGTTTAGAAAATTATATTTTTGTAATTTTTACAAATACTAATGATTACACTTAAACATAAGAAGTTGAACATTGATAAATATTTAAGATTAATTCATACTAATAAAAGACATGTTATAAAGTTATTATACAGTTGATCATGTTTATGTTGTTAGTATGAAAAATAGAAAGTTTGTTATAAAACGTAGAAATTTTATAATCTCACAAGATAAGTTAGGAAATAGTATTTTTTTATTAAAAAAATGGAGATTAGCTTAAATAGTACAAATTAATTAATTTATTACTAAAATATCCTTTATTTTATTTTTATTATTGAATAAAATTTTATACCAAAAATATCCTTAAAATCTTTGTTAACAAAAAAAAATTACATAAATGCCATTATTTTTAATTTCCACATGAGCAAAAAAATCACAAAATAAAAAAACTATTATAATAAAACTGTTAATTTAATGTTATTAGATTTAATTTTACTCACATATTTATTTTGAATGCAGATTTGTTTCACAGACTTATTAAGACTGTCATAAACTTATTAAAACTTGGGAAGATTACTATAATATTCTTTTAAATAGGTCTATTTGCTAGAATAGCTGAAATTTGTTTTAATTACTGAATTAACCTAGCGTACCAATTATGCCTTTAAAGCCTTTGATAACAAAAATGGTATTTACGATTGTGCCATTACTTTTCTTTTGCCATGTCAGCAAGTTGTTTGACGGTAGATTTGTTTTGTCTGGTCAATGGTTGGTAGATTTGTTTCGTGTGGTAGACTTGTTGTTGACGCTGAAGTGGTTATGACGCAGTAGATTTTTTGGGAACGGTAGAGTTGTTTCTTGAACGGTAGATTTGTTGGAGAACTTGGTAGACTTAAAAATATGTTATGGAAGATTTTTTTTCCGACCCTACCAGAGGCTGATTGGTTGACTTTTTACGTTCATTGACTTTGAATGGCGGTAGATTTATTTTTGGGCATGGTAGATTTATTTTTATTTGGTAGACTTAGTATTTGTGGTGGTAGATTTTTGTTACTCCTATTTTGTATTTACTTGGTGGTAGAGTTATTTTGTTGATGATAGAGTTTCTAGTGCCAACGAATCCTGGTAGAGTTATTTTGCTGTTGTGGTAGATTTAATTTATTTTTGTAGTGGTAGATTTATATTTTCGATAATTACCAGAATAACATCATTAGTAGATTTATCGTGTTAGGTGGTGGTAGATAGTTGACTTTTTCACAGATCGTGATTGCGTAGTGGTAGACTTTTCATGGGGTACTGAACGGTGAAGAACGTTGAAATCAAATGTTGATCAGTGGGATGTTGATTTTGGACGTGATAAGAATGTGAATATTGCAGTGAAGAGATTCAACCTCTATTGCGATTGTTGAAGACTCGTTCATTACATTTCAAAATTTTATAGAAAGTACATAGAGAAGAAGTTCTTAAAGAAAGAAAGTACTTAGAGACGTTCAACGAACAAAGTGCATAGAGATAGATAAAGCGATCCATAGTAGAAAATAGATGCTATTAAAACTGAAATCTAAGCAGTTGGTACTGAAGAAAAAGGTAGCACTCGTGGCAACACATTAATGGGTGTTTGAACCTGCAGCTTGGAAATTCTTCTACTTTGAAAATATTGGGCAACAGATCTGCAGTAGCACTCTGTATTCCCATCTTGGTTCGAGAAACCTCTTTACCTAGTTCGATCATGTAGTGCATGCGTGATCTCCAACCTACAACTCTTTCCAACATCTCCATTGCAGTTGGATAGTGGCTATATGCGGTTGCGATAACAGTGACCATCAATGTTGCTTGGTCTATCCCGGCTTTGGAAGCCTTGTTGAAAAATCTGAGCAAATTTTCAACGTCGTGGTCTATAGCTATTGTTCTCATCCCGTGCAGGTATAATGCATGAGGATTGTCTGATGAGAGAGCCAAATTGAAGAAGTAAGGATATCGTTGGAGAAAAGTTGTATCAGCAATGAACTCTGATAGGTTTAGTGCTTGCATTAGAGATGGTTCCTTTAATGCTGTGTTTAGTTGTTTTGACGCACATGCTGCACGACATGCGTCCTTAGCAGAAACTCGTCCCACTCTCTGAAGAATCGGCCCGAGTAGGTCTCTTATTTGGGGGAGTCCATCATTTGTTTCTATTTTACGCTGAAACATAGAGAGTATAGAGAAGCGTATAAAGTCAGAACTGCAGATAAAATAAATCTTCCATCAACTAACCAAGTATATCTACCACAACAGATTAAAAATGGTTGTGCATAAATTTTAAATCTACCACAACAGCTTATTAACAGACCTAGAGTTACCGTAAATCTACCAGCAAGAGGCCTTGTATAAGTACCACACAACCTCAGACAAAGTGATTCAAACGATAATCTATAACTATAACCTACAACAGATGTGAACTCGCCACAGAAGTTAAGGTATTTGGCGGATGAAAAGGAAGAGAAAGCGGAATACTTACCGACGAGAGTTGGCAGTCTCAGATTCGAGTAGAGTCAACTTGCCGACGTCAGGTAGAGTGAGTTAAGAGGCGGAGTGCCAGGACAGAGACTGATGTCGGCGGTGAAAGTAGAAGAGTTAGTTGGGAGAGGAGGAGTAGTAAAGTAAAGGGTTTTTAATAACCAAAAAAAAAACAAAAATGTGGGGCCACACATCACATTATCTTCCTCACCCACTCTATGTTATCGCCGCCTCCATCATTTTTCTCCATCTGGTTCGACCATTGAAACTAAAATCTCGATCTTCTTCTTGTTCTTCCTCTATTAAATCCTTATTTCGATTTCTGTTTAGCTGGTTTATGAAGGTCTTGGTCATTTTGAATCAATGGAACAAATTATTTTGGTTTGTGGAAAATGGAGTTTTCACAATAATCGATGGAGGTTTGGCACAGATAAGGGAAAGGGATGTCGAATATTGCGGGTACATGAAGAAACCTCTTTCGCTGGATTTCTGGGAATGGTGTTTGAAGATTTTGGTTTGGATCCGCGAAATCAAGATGTGCAATTAAGCTACATGTTGTCCAAGAAGGTACTGCAAAGATTACCACATGATACACCTCCTGTATTTGTGGCAAATAATAGACAGTTGAACGGGTTTTTCGAGCAATTGAAAGAAGATCGGATTCGCATGTGTGTTGAGATTAAATCAAAAACTCCCGATGAATTTGGTTCAGATGGAGAGAATCGTCATGCTGCTAGGAAGGAAGGAGATGTTATTGATGAAGAGGAAGGAGATGAAGAAGAAGGCGATGAAGAAGGAGGAGATAAAGAAGAACAACAATATGAAGAAGCAAAACGAGATGAAGAAGACGAGGAAGACGAAGATTTGAGTACCAGATATGATGGATGCGAAGATCCGGATGGTGCTACTTCTGATGACGAAGAATATGGAACTTCTATAAAATCAAGGGATGGAGAAAGTGTTGATGTAGAAGATGATGGTGAAACTCTACCACCAAAGGTAAATCCTGCAACAATTCCAGATTTTCTTAAGATGGAGATCAGTTCAATGGATTTAGCCATTGGCCAAAGTTACCAGACAAAAGATGATTTGATTATGCGCCTGCAAATTCTGAGCGTCATTAAAAAATTTAACTACGATGTTGCATATTCAACACCAATATTGTTGGTAGTAAAGTGTTGGGTTCAAGGATGTGCATGGCGAGTTCGTGCTTCAACTGTAGGTGATGGTTCAATCTTCTACATTAAGACTTACGTTAGCAAGCACACATGTTCTATAACTGTCCGATCACTTCGTACCCGCCATGCCACTTACCCGATTCTAGGACGTCTCTATAAAGACTTTGTCGGTGGTGTTGAACCTTCTGTATTGCCAAACCATGTCTCCGATGGGCTGACAAAACCATTTGGAATTAAGGTAAGGGTATGGGTATGTTCTGATTTATGGATTCCGGTAGATTTATGTACACTTTGAGGTGGTAGATTTAATTACGTAGATTTTTGTACCTCGGTGATGTGATGATAGATTTATGGTGGTAGATTTATTTAAGGTGGTAGATTTATTTACATAGATTTACGTGTAGTGGTAGATTTATGTTGGGTTTCTCTTTCTACAGGTCGATTACTGAAAAGCACATCGGGCTCTACAATATGCACGACAGTTAGTTTCTGGAACTTTGGAAAGTGGATATGAAGAACTGCCATCTTACTTATACATGATTAGGCGAGCTAATCCGGGGACACTTATAAAGCTTGATGTCGACGATGAAGATCGGTTCAAGTTTATGTTCGTCGCGTTTGCTGCAAGCATTTTCGGGCTCCCATACATGAGGAAAGTTGTTGTGGTAGATGGCACGTTCTTGCACGGGAAAAACAAAGGTACACTACTACTCGCAACAACCCAAGATGGAAATTTCAATATATTTCCAATAGCGTTTGGTGTTGTAGATACTGAGAATGATGAGTCTTGGGAATGGTTCTTTAGACAACTTCACCGTGTCATTCCAGATGATGAAGGTCTAGCTATTATTTCAGATAGGCATAGAGCTATAGGAAAAGCCATAGGAAATGTGTACCTCCTAGCAAACCGTGGTATTTGCACATATCACTTGTATAAGAACATTTTGTTGAGATTCAAAGGGGGAGAAACATTCGGCCTTGTGAAAAAGGCTGCTAGAGCATATACGGTAGCAGAGTTCAGTGCCTACTATGCACAGATTCAAGCTTTGAATCCTCAACTATATGATTATTTGCAAAAGGCT